TTTGACACTAGTTACGATATCTTTTTTTTTGTTACCAAAAACCAACCTAATCAAATTTATGGCAACCTATTCACGAATATATCCCTAAATCCTAGGGAGTAATTTCTTGTTGATACGATATTATAAATGTAAAAATTTAAAAAAATTAGACATCGCCTGAAATTATTTTCAGTTATACAACAGTCTGTCCCGAAAATAGGTTATAATACAAACTTTTAATACAAACTTTTGTTTTTTTTTTAAATGTAATACTATGTAGGGTTATTCATAAATATGAAGCAATATTTGAACCTCAAAAATGACCTATAAAATGATGTTAATTTAAATTTAAATAATAACTCGTGTCCTATCTCTACTGATAAGAATTTTACAATCCTCGGAATTGGAGTATGGAAATTTGTTTTTTTTTTGTAATAACTTCGGAACCATTTGAACAAATATTATAAAATTTGGAACAGTTACTTGCATTTAAACTGGTAATCACAAAAACCGGATACACCTACCCAATTTCCGGTTGCTGCAGTTGCAGGTCACATTTTCTGTTTTTCTGTTTTTTTGCTCTCTTAGTCAATTTTGTTAAGTTATTAATTTAAGTTGTAACATACTTAAAAATTTCTTAAGACAACCAGAATTTTTAACTGTTGTAAAGAAAAAAGTACAAGCTTGAAGCCTATAACATTTTTTAGTGCATTGTCGTTTTAAAGATAAAAAATGTTAAAAGTTAAATAATTTAAAAAGTTTAAATGTAATACCCTATTTTTGTTTCTACATCTAACGGATTGTCAAATCGTCTATCTAAAAACATAAACTTTTAAGCTTAAAAACATCTAAAATAATGCCAAGAAATATCCAAAAGAAGATAATTTTCTACCGAAAAAAAAGTGAAATTCCAAACTTAAATGCGAAATACGAAGCTAAAGGCCATCATTTTCAGTTTCAAATTTAACATTTTCTGAATTCAAAGCTAATAAGACTCTCTATCAAGTTTTCGCTTTTCTTCTCTCCTTTAGACGAAAAATTGTGTACTTTACATGTTTTGGGATGCCCAAAATACATAAAATAAGCGCCTTTTTTGATCTTTTACCTCTACATTTTTGAAATACAAAATTCGGTGTAGAGCCCTCGTAATAGAAATCGGGACCAGAATTTCAAGTTTAAAACCAAATTTTATTTTTTCATTGAAATCTCGCGATTGTGGCAGAACCACAACGTCGTGCTTGTCTGTAGTCCAAGAGCTTTAGGTAGCTCGCCGTCTTAATAACAATAATAACAATTTCGGGGCGCCGTGTGCGGACCATCGAGGAATGCAGATGACCTTCGAATGGTACTCGCACCATCTGCCTGGGCGTGTTTGTGTACAAAATACACGGAGACGGTGTGTGTATTGACATACATCAGAATTTCGCTACCAGAGGAATGTTTGCCTTGACTGCAAACACTACCAAATAGGGGCTGCAAACCGATAGTTTATTACCTTAGCGACCTTTTCGCACCTCGAGAACACGTGGCGCATTTTTATGTAAATGAAAATTCATTCCGAGAATTCAATCTGATTCCGAATTACAATAAATGACCCCGGGGACCGAAATAATGGAATTTTTCGGATAATTTATTAGAGACCGGCCCCCCGATGACCACAACTAAATTAAAGCATTCCGAACGGAGATTCAGCAGGATGTGCCAAGCAGAACGTCCTGCTGAGACAGGCCGAAATTTTCCCAGACCATGAATTCAGGCCCAAAATTTTGGAAAAATGGGTTTTCTTAAGGCTGAAAAGCCTAAAAAAGCGCCACTAGTAGGCGCTATCGGCCATTAGTTACGCCAGCCGTCTGCGATGCAACCAAGCATGAATGGAATGCTGAATAATATCGCATTAGATGAACCGGTTAAATAAACAAATTAGCCTGCCAGGTAGTGTTTTTCATAACCAACCTACATGCTAACTTAATCGTTGACGATCTCGCTATTTGTAATTATTGCCTTCGCTCGGTGTTGACAACAATGTTAGCATTTACGTTGGCGCCGAACCGATCATCTGACAGGTTTTCTTCGCAGACTTTTCTTCGATTCGATCTTGCACAACGGCATTTTTCTCCGACTGATCAAGTTTCACAAGACGACATTTAAATTCTTAGCTTTTATTATATAATCGCAGAAATATGTGAAATCTTTCCAAGAATTTTACATCGAAATTGTTTACGCACGGAAAAATTTACACGTCACTAGTTTAAATCGATCGCTGGGTAGTTAGCAGGTAATTCACCTTTACCTCATTATGGGTAATAATGCCATTTATTGTAATTTTATTTAAGGCTGGGTAATACGGAAGTTGGATTGTTCGTGTGCTTGGTGCTCTAAAATAAGTGTACTTGTCATGGTAAAATTTATTTTATTGTTTGTTATGTACATAATTACAATGTTGAATGTTTTGTTTGTTTAAAATTATACAGTAAAATTTATCTTCCTTTCCATAGTTTTTTGCGCTATGCCTATTACCGGCTCAATGAATGAATGAATAAGTAATGTATGCGGAAATTGAAAATATAAACTTGAAATGGACACTGTCAGAGCTAACAGATTGGGTGTTAGACAAATTACTTCGCTGACATTAAATTAACTGACTCACTCGATGTTTCTAACTTTTTCAAAGATTTACTTTTAAGGAAATGTGTCAAAATTTTGTGTTTTTATGCTTTCAGTTCTCAATAAAACAGAAAAAATAAATTTCAACGAGCTTTTTAACTTTATGGAAATAGCAATACATACTAGTGTAATTTTAGTTTTAATTTTTTTATAATATAAGTTTTCTGTAGGCCCCACTTTTGTACTATTTCAATTTTAAGTGTAATGAGATTAACGGTAAAGTTTAATTACATTCTGACATTAGCTTTCGTTTACAGTCTAGATAAATTTAATTTTAAATTAGATTTCCGAGTTTCTGTCAGTTTAAAAAAATTTAATCCATTTTTGGTGTTCGAGTAGTGGCTAGTAAAAAGCCTGAGAAAAATTTTGATCATGCCATCTTTCCGAGTTCAGTTTTACAACACTAAATTATAGAGATTAATAGTTATTTAATAAACTAATTTGTTAATGAAGGTGATTAATAATCGATCATGAATGAGCGATAGCGAGTGAATGAATACCTTTAATAGTTGAGATTATTAATCGCCCATTAACAAATGGGTTGCTCATAACATTTTTTCGTTAACCGCAAACTCTTTTCTGGTGGTAAAATTTGAAATTTATGAAAAATCAACACCAATTTCATTTTTTTCATCGCACCATCTTTAACTTCAATTCTTCAATTTCAACTTTGATAGCTGTTATTAAGATTTATTGTGAATTAAATGCAAGAAAAACAGTGGGAATTCAGTAACAGGGTGCAATTTATGTATATTAGCTGACTTGAAAAAGGTAGGTGATGAATTATAAAGCGTTTTTTAAGATTCAGAAGCCTTATAAAGCAGGAATTAAATTTTAAAACGTCAAAATCACAAAATAGTCCATTAGTGAAAAAGAGGGTATTAAAGACATCCATAAATGCATCCTTTTTTTAACAAACAGCCAACGAAAGAATTAATTTAATTAATTAATGTAGACGAAGACACAACAGGATTTGTGAATTAATATTGTCAGTTTAAGATTAAGCCAAGTATGAGGATTAATTAAGGTTGCTGTGATTTAAGAACTTGAATTTAAAATCCTATGTTTAATTAAAATATGATTTTCAACATAGAATGTGTTTTTCAGTAATTCCAAAAGAAACTACAAGATCAATTTTGCAATCAAATTTCAGTTTCTTTAGAATCAATGAATTCCAAATTTCAAACTTGCTGAGGTCATAAAAAATTGGAGTTGATATTTGTAGTTCGGAAAAATTATAGTATATTGTGTTCGAATTCATCACAAGTTTGTAATTGTGGAATTGAAATTGCTGATGTTATTAATTTAACTTAAAATTTAGAATTACAATTTCGACTTTATACTTATATTAGCTAGAACCTTGAGTTAAAAATCGGAAATACCATCAGAATGAGTAGTGGAGTCAGAATTTACATATTTAAGTCAGAATTTGGCGTCAAAATTTGAAGTCTCAAGATTAAAATTCGAAATTTTTTGTAATTGGCAGGCAAGCTTWATCTTTTCTGTCTCATATTTGGTTTTTGCCAAGTAAAGGCTTTTTTGATCGAAATTTAATTAATCACATGGTATAAATAAAAACAGATGAAATAAAAAAAGATGAAACAATCTTTTTTACACTTGACAATTTGGCGACCAGTTTAATTTAATTTCAATTTCTTCAGATGAACTGAAATTTTTAAACAAAAATGTTTGAGCTGAGTTGTTACTATTAATATTTTCTGAAATTGGTATTTATTGAAATTATTGAAAGTGTTTTTGAAAGTTTAACTCTTGATGGAGAGATGATTACGGGGTTAGAGCTATCGCACAATAAATCGATTCTTGTTATTAGCGTGACTTTTAACTCATTTCCATGCCAGTCTTTGACCTTCAATCTCTTGTAAAGCTGTCTAAAAGACTTCAAAATGGGGCCTTTGTCCAACTTGTAAAGTGTCAATTTTTGACTTGTCTATCACAAATATGTTAAAAATTCAATTCTTCTGGTGTCTAATCTTCTACTCCCATACATGACGTACATGTGTTTTTTTCGCCATTTCTCAAGAAACATGCAAGATATTTCCTGTGTACGCAGTAAATCAGATAAGAAGTGTTACCTAGAATCGGCATCCTATGAAACACACATAATCATCATCTAAAAAAAGCGACTACAAAATTTTACTTTTCCCATCCTCAACCCAACACAATAGCCGATTAAAATTAAAATTCGGTCCTGCAACAATGACCTCTGAAATCTCTCCGGTCGCCGGAATTTGTTCCTGGAACGGTGTGTTAATTCTTCGGCGCGAAATTGCTGGGTGTGTTATGATCGAAAGTTAATGATAGGGTCGTGTGTTTATCAGGAATTCGGTTTGTTGCAGGTGAGCGGGCAACCCCCTTGAAGAGATGAGCGGGTCATGCGCGCCGGCCTGTGCACGGTAAGCGCCCCTCTGGCCGCGTGCAGCCCGGCAGCAGCGCTACCCCCGTCGGCTCGCTTCTTGGCCCTACATTTGCTGCACCAACAAACCCTTTATTTCATCGTACAAGCCAAATCCAGGGTCAGGGAACTGTACCAGCAGACATGCCTGCACTTCGCCCAGCAGGGGATGCTCGACACCGATTTGTTCGGGCTGGCCCTCATCTGCGGTAAGCTATATTTTCCATACACTTTTCCAGTTTGTACCTAGCCTGAATTTTACCCCAAATTACAAAAACGCAAATTGTCAAAAACAAAATTGTCTAATTTTTCAGGGATTTACATAGTGTAAAAAAGGTTGTATCCAAAAAGGTTAGAAAACTATCAAAAGAAATGTTGTATTTGGTGGTCTTGCCATTGCAGTGTCATAGTCAGTGTTAAAAACGAAATGGAAAAACTTGATAGCAGTTTGGAAGATGCCTGGCAATTAGGAGATTGTGAATTGTGAGAAAGACAACAATGATTAGAATTACTGATTTTGTTAAAACATTTTGCACAGAGAAATTTGATAGTGAAATGTTGATGAATTTTAATTTTATTACCCAATCAAAGGTCAAACTCTGAATTTGGGGTCAAAATTCCCACTTTTATGATGGTCTTCTCTAAAATTACAGTCGTTAGCCTAATACGAGTAAAACGCAGTCGATCGCTAAGGTCGGTAGGTGAAAATTTATACAAAATTAAATTTGTAGGTAAATTCAGTTTTTATACAGGCTGTTTCGACTAAAACCCACATTAGAAGTATTATGAGCTCCTAACAATGATATTTATTTAAAATTTTGGTTATAAAATCGGTTAGGTTCTGCTCTTTCAAAATGGCGGTACTTTCTTTTACATCGGAAGTGGATATCAACTTTATTATTTTAAATAGAAAGGTATGTTTTTTTATTGCGTTTTCGGATTACACAAGTGATTTTAAGAGAGTTTTCATTAGTCTTTCCTATACCTAATTTAACCGTTTTAGAAATATTCAGACTTTTTAAAATTTTTTTGGAATTGAATCATCCTATTAAAAAATCGATAACTGGACCATTTTTTATTATGTTAAAACCGTATTTGGGTATACGGGAGAGAAAGGTTAGATCTTTCCTTTGGTTTATTCGTAATTGGAAAAATAATTAACAAACAGTCAAAATGTAAGGTTACGTTTAGGAGATTTCAAATACTCTTAACTCAATTTTTCTAAATGAAACGCCCCAATTTTTTGTTCACTAAATGGAGGAGAATTTAGTTATGCTTCGATCTGTATTAACATTCTCTATACCTATGTTTGATCGTTTTTAAGTTATAGCAACTTCTTTTGATCTTGTGAGAAATTCATTAGCCATAGCAACTTTAGCATCGGTTGTCATAGAAATAAGAAAAAAATAGATTATCAAAGTTATTCAAATTTAGATTAAATAAAATTATTTTTTATTTACGAAAAGAATAACACAATTGTGAAAAAAACCTTGGCGTTTTTTACTTGAGAAATATTTCCATAGCAAACTATGCGAAAACTACCATGGATAGTAATGAATTTCTTAAATTGTAAAAAAAGTCAARATAACTTGGAAATCATTAAATTTAGGTATAGGGAATGTTGATACAGATCGATGCAGAATTAAATTCTCTTTCATTTAGTGAGGAAAAAATTGGGGTCTTCCATTTGAAAAAAATTAGTAACGGGTATTTGAAGTTTCCCAAACGTAACCTTAAATTTTGCAGGTTTGTTAATTATTTTTCCAGTTATAAACACACGAAAGAAAAGATCTGACCTTTCTTTTTCATATGCCCAAATATGATTTCAAAATAATTAAAAATGGTACAGTTATCGATTTTTGGAGAGGAAGATGTAAATTAAAAGAATTTCAAAAAAGTTTAAATATTTCAAAAACGGTTAAATTTAGGTATAGGAAAGTGTGATAAAAACTCGCTCAAAATCACTTGAGTAATCCAAAAACGCAGTTAAAAACATATCTTTCTTCTTAAAATAACGAAGTTGATACTCATTTCCGGTGTTGAGCAGGATCTTAACGATTATGACTATAATCAAAATTTTAGATAAATATCACGGTTAGTTATCATCCAATACTTCTAATGTGGGGTTTAGCCGGAACAGCTTGTATTTAACGAATAATGTAACTAAAACAATGTTTCTAATAGTTTTTGACTTATATACAGGATGTATCAGAAATATGTGTGTTAATTTTAACATGTAACACATCTCGATGAATAATACATTTTTTTTATTTGTAATTTTTCAATGACAGCTTTCTAATTTGATTTAAAATTTGGAAAAAATAACATATCAAAACTTGTGTATGGGTATCAAATTAAAAATTCCAAAATATTTTCGTTGTGATAGGAACGTAACTACATTAAAAGAACTGCATTGTTGTGATTATTTATTAACATTGAACAGCTCGTTTACACAAAATTATGGGGGAAAACAATAAAAACAATTAATAAGAATTTTACAAAATGTTATATAGAAAAGTTGTTTTACTTGGTGAGTTTCTTCACGTGTTAAAATTAACACACGTATTTCTGATACATCCTGTATTTTCCTATCCATATTTAGGTAATAACATTAGTAACATAAATTTTACAAGTATTTTTTCTAAGTCAAACTTATCGCCTTTCTTCGTTTTCTCTCGTCTGAATAATGATGGCTGAAACAATATCTATGTTTTAAAGCTTTTAGTTGTGTTCCAGAATTTTGATACAATTCTTTGTTAATTCGGAAAAAGGATCGAAAATATCTGTTACTGTTACTCGTTTCTGGCGAGATTTTAACCACTGTTATTATTTTATAGAGAATGTTGCTGTTGAAATGTTTCTAAAGTCTGAGAGCAATAACTTAGCAGGTATAACCTTATTATAACAGGAGTTAGAGAATAGCACCATTAGTTTATAATACCGAAAAAGGTTAAATTTTCCTCTTTTCTCCTTACATTTTTGCGCAATCATTTGGACAATTACTTTCCGGGGAAGTTTAGACCCGTTGTTCGTATTAATTTTATCGTTTGAGGTTCATCTTACTCGTGACCGGTCATCATGTAAAAAATTCATCGATTACGTCGACTTGTAAACACTTAATAATAGTATCGGAATGCGAATGATTCGAACTTTTGGTCCGTCTTTATGTTGGCGATTATGTTCGAAAACCGCTTGCTAACAACAATTCTAAACATCGTAGTTTCGATGTTAGTCATCTCTGTAAATTTCGTCCATGCGAGAGCAAATATTTGGAAACTGAACAGAGGTTAGCAGGACAATTGACTCTTCTCCCATGTAATAACAATAAAAAAATAAGTACAAGAAGCTTGCAAATACCGAAGCAATATTTTATCTATATTTGTACATATTTCTACAGCTTTTATTTTAGAATATATGTTGGAAAATAGTCAAAATTTTCAGTACAGTTTATACCTAAAGCCCATAAATATTTTCAGTATAAGTATTTAAATAATATTTTCTTAAAGTGTAAAAAAGGCCTACTTGCCGAAGAACTACATATGAAAATTGTAATTTCATACAGATATTTTAGTGATTTGGTGCCGTAGCTGTTGCCCAGCTCCAGTTTCTTAAGGCAGGCATCTGGTAGCGCGCATCACAGCAGGCCGGGCCAGGTCAATAAAAAATCRAGTCAGCCGTGGGCTAAAAAACGCGACTAAAAAAACAATGCAGAGCCGCGGTTAAAGACAGGTAGCCGAGCTAAGCGGTAGGGGAGAGGGGGATCAGGATCATTTGTATACTCGGGGAATGTGCCCGACCCGGTACACTCGATGCCAAAACGAACACGCCGACTTACAGATGCCTATCTGACAATACGGACACTTTTTCGGTTTTTAAAAATTAAAGCCAAATAAATCATCATTTGATGATCATTTGTTTTATAATTGCAGGGCGGAAAGTGGGAGTTTTCATCCCCCATGTAAATCATTTTTTGATTTTTGGCTTGCTTTTAATTTTTTTATTTCTCAGTAACAGTTGCGTCATTTTAAATATATACAATGTGTCAAAAAAGTGAAATTTCTTAAGAGATACTGTCATACAAGTTTTAATCAAAAGTGTATATTTTATTCATGAGGAGCTCATGTAATTTTTATGTAAATTTTAATTATTGATAACTAGGTACCATTGTTTGACGACACTTTCTTCTTCTCGTTGTTTTGTAATCGGAAAGGATTACACTCTACTCAAATCTGACAAAAGATATATTATTTTAATTTACTTTCTCTGTTGCAAGGAATTTGTTTTATAATTTTTCTTTAATATTAATGAGGTATGTAAATATAACAAGAATCATGYCAAAAAATTATTAGGGCAGGAAATGTACGGTTCCCTCCCGCATATCATTGCTCGAGGTGTTCGAAACCGACAATATATATTTTTTTATTATTGTTTTATTTGAAACTTATTTATGTTAATAGCTAAAGAATTTCTTCTTATTGACAAGGAAGAATAAATCATGAAGGAAATAGCCACTTCACTTATCGTTGGTTTTAATGAATARAGCGATTTTTACTTTTTTGTGATTTATTACAGCAAATGTTTTTCTTTCACAACATTATTTAAAAATATTACTTAATTCTACTTTTTGGTGCTATTTCGAAATTGTGCAATCCATATATTAACTTTTATTGTATTGAAAATGTAAACTAAACAATGTGAAAATTATTTTAACCTTACAATTGCAATTATGCCTTACACAGGAGCAATAAAATACGCCAAGAGTAAGGAACTGAAAATATCAGCAATAAACATGTTAATTGATTTGTTTAGTAGAATAATTAGACGAGAGATTCTTGTTGCGTTTTTACTAATTGTTTTTTTGATTCATCTTGTATTTTAGTCGTATCAATCAAACAAAATATAATAGGTACAGGAGAGTTAATTAAAGTTTTGTTTTCTACTCAATTCTTTATATTTTAATGACATTATTTCGCACATTTCTAAGTGAAATTGCAAACAATGGTATGTGGTAGTGACTTTGACCGAATTTCCTTATTTTACTGTTATTACCTTTGCAGTCATGCACAGCTTAATACGGAGTTACAGGGCGGGTCATCCATTGACCTTTGAGAGATTTAAATTAATTCACGATCTTATTATTTTTTCTGAAATTGCGAATGTTAATCTTTGAGTTATACGAACTAGATTTGCATACATTGTCATGTATTATAATTTATTGTTCCAAGGGTTAAGGCCAAGGTTATTGTTGAGTATTTGGTACAAGGTTTGTCATTAATTTCCCCTGACGTCATTGGTTTTTCTTTAAAAAAAGTTTTCTCGTATCAAACATATCAATAAATTGTTAATTGAGTTCGAAATAGTTGCGTTACAGAAGTCAAAATCGAGTTCATGGAAAGTCCACAGCGATTATAATATTTTGTAATTTAAATTTCTGATGTGTTATTATTAATAAATTACTGTTGTCGGTTCGTAATTACAGCGTGTGCTTAGGAATTTGTTGAACTTCTTCAGCGTTCATTTTTAATAAGACCAAGTCCCGTAAAGGAATTTTCTAAAATCACCTTCAATTATTTACACATACCGAATTCGTAACGGTCGTCATTTTGATAGATTTAGTACTGTTTTGACAATGCATTATCAATTCGCGAAAGATGATGACAACAATAGGAAAACCCTCACACATTCCTGATGAAATGGGTCGACTTTTATTCTTTTATCCTTCGTTTGGATGTTTTCTCTTAATTTGTCCACCTTTAATCGGGAGTGATTAGTGTGGTAGATGGTATCAGAAGGTGATGTTGCAATAGCTAGGATATGTTGGGTGTTCGCCCGGGGCTAGGGCCCGGTGGGGCGAGCGAACAGTGACGAGGAGGCCGCTCGGAATGCGGTCTGGCGCTGCCACATTCCTGCCAACCTCTCTGACAGTACACTCGGAGAGATAAAACTCCGCAACTACAACTCTTTCACGGTCCTGCCTCACTTTATTCAGGAAGCGAGCTAGACCAACGCCGAACCCAAACAGATATGAATTGACGAGATTCAAGCACGAGATACGCAACGTACACCGCAAATCAGCAGCAGTTCGATTTTTTCTTAGTTATTTGAATAAAAGGAATTGGCAGTTACGGCTTTTGATTTATTAAAAAAAAAAAACGCAGAAGTGTGCAAGAAAATTTAGAGACGAGAACACAAAATAGTCCAACTAGAAATGGTGGTCAAATCCCATCGGATTTGCAAATATTTTGTCGAAATTATTGGGTATCGCAGCATAGTCTCATCACGTCCAAACTAAAAATTGCGTCCAAGTTTGGAAAAAATGTTGAAACAGGTCAATTAAAAAAATTCAAATAGCAAGAGGGATCGAGTGACACATAATTTGGGGATATTATATTTCTTAAATTGAATCAATTTTCTTTCCTCTCATAGTAATCTCAAAAAAATTGTTCAAAGTTTAAAAAAATGTTTGCGTAGACAAATGGGTGGCACTGTGTGTTAGATGGATGCAGAAATAACTTTGATATTTTGATCAAATTTGGTCCCCCTTTAAGTTAAATTGACCTGTTTCAGCATTTTTTCCAAACTTGATTGAGACTTTAGGGGGTACAAATTTTAGTTGGAACAGCCTGTATAATAAATTGACGAGAATACAAACTAATCGTGAATGAGATAAATAAGGGTGCTTAGTTTTGCACCGTATTTGTGAAAGAGGCTGAAAATCGACGATTTTGAAACTAAAGCTGATGAAGAATTTCGAATTTGCATCAATTTCGAGCACATTTCAAATAAATTACACAACATTCGTTGGCAGTTTTCATAATATCCGCTGCTATCCTCTACACAATAACTTTTTTTTTTTGGTTTTTGAGTAATGATGTCAAAATTTTTGTTAATGGAAAACCCTATTTTTTTTAGACATTTCGATAGATATTTTAATTGTCGGAATGATCACACCAAAATATTAAATATTACATAAAGTTTTCGAAAAAAATCATCCAAAAAGTGAAATAATATCAACAAAAAACATACAATTTTAAATCAAATTGAGAATTTTCTATTTTTTTAAAAAGAAAATTGRACCTGTTTGAGCATTTCTGTCAGAACAAAATATTTTCAATTTTAATTAATTAATTAATTAATAAGATTATTCCATAATTTTGCCGCTCACTGTAAACACACCCTTTTCACTTATGTTTTATTGCGAAAATAGACACGAAAATTTTGACCTGATAATTTCCATTTAAAGAAAAAATCAGAATTTATCTAAAATAAAAACGGTCATCTACTTTATTCTTAGGTTACTAACAATATTTTGAGATACAAAGCACATTGCGAAATGATTCAGTCATAGGTAATAGGTATTGCATTCTACCCTCATTTTGATGCAAATTCGTAATAAATGCAAAAAGGCGATCTACACTGGCCTCCAAAAATAACCGAACAACTAAAATTTTGCGATTTTTCACATTGCTATATTTTTGTAATTCTTTGTCGGATTTCGACGAATTTTTGTTTAGCTTAAAGAAAAAACTTTGTAGATCATTGTAATTTAATTCAATAACATTTCTAGTTTTGTCTTCTACATGTGATACTCAAAAGACGAAGGCACTATTTTTTTACTTATTTTTATACTGAGCTGTGGTGTTTGACAGAGGCAAACTTAAGTTTTTTTTACTGATTTCAGATTATTGCCCATTCTTTTCTGAATTATGTACCACATTTTCTATAATTTTAATTCTTGAAGCATGAGAGATATAAACCTTCAAAAAAAGGCATTACATTTCCAATTTCAATGAAGGTTCGTATTAAGTAAGCCGAATGTACCAAAGGCGCATGGAAGCTTCCAATAATTAACCGTTTTACTTGTTGTAATCCTTTTAAGTTCCAAGTTTTTTAGATTTTTTGTGTTCAAAGACGAAATTGTGCTTTTTTGGAGACATAAGCAATAATTTTCAGTTTAACTACCTTTTTATGTAGCCTACTTTTTGAACGAATATTTAACATTAGAAAAACAACGTTTTTTTTCAATGCTTTGTATCTCTGGGGTACCAGAAGATAAAATTTTGAAACAAACTGGTCCTCATTCAGACAAAAACGGGCAATAATCTGAAATAAGTAAAAACTTAATTTTGTCTCTGTTGCACACTAAAGCTCAGTATACAAAAAAGTAAAAAAACAGTGCCCTCTTCTTTTAGGTATAACATTTACAAGATTAAATTAGAAATGTTATTTAATTAATGTTTTGCAAAGTTCGTTCTTCAAGCTGAACAAAAATTCATCGAAATCCGACAAAGAATAACAAAAATATTGCAATGTGAAAAATAGCAAAATTTTAGTTGTCCGGTTAATTTTGGCGGCCAGTGTATATCTCGTGAATATTTTTTTACCAACAAGTATGAAGCTTACGCCTGAACACCTTCGAGCTATGATTCAAGCTGTTAATGAAAAAAGAGTTTTTGCTGTGAAAAGATTGATTGGAAAAAATAACAAAATAACTTATCGCGAGAAAGAGGAATCTTAAGTTTTACAGTGTTGGATATTTTTACAGTTTTTCACGAAAGACTTGTTCTGAAGAAGACTACTTCTCGTTGGGTGGTACGTACACGGTTGTTTTTTTTTTCAAATTTTTGCACCATTTGGATGAATTGTAGATTTCTTCCAAGTTTTGTGAATTAAAGAAAAAAAGAATTGTAAGCCAATGCATTCAATGTAAAATGTATAATCAAGGATAATCAGTCTTCAAGTATAACATAAACAAGATAAAAACTTACAGATTTTAGGAAAAAATATTTATTTCTTTTATACTTTGTCAAGTACCAAAAGGGTTATTGAGACAGCTTGTATAACGAGAGAAAACCGAAGATATTGAAATACTTAAATTTTTGTACCAGCAATTTGTCCCAAATTTCCCGCTTGAGTTTTGTTTTGTTGAGTTTTATTCAAAATTTACGCACATTTTGACATTGATTTTAACCCAAAAATGAATCTTTTGTTTTTTTTTCAGATGGCGAATACCTGTTCGCCGAGCTCGATAGCAAACTCTCGAAGTATGCCCCCAAAAGTTGGCGTTCATCGCACAGCCATGGCTTGGACGCAAACGGGCGTCCGGCCCTCGCCTTCTACTTCCGCGTCCAATTCTACGTGGACAGCCCGCTACTCCTCCGCGATGAAACTACTCGACACCATTACTACCTTCAGCTCCGTCTTAACGCAGCTTCTGGAGCCGCTGGCGACGTTGCGATGCACTTGGCCGGTCTTGCTCTACAAGCAGATCTCGGCGATCGAACTGACTCCACCACGTTCCGACCTGAAGACTACGTTCCACCGAACCTACGTGGTCCTGCTGCTCTACGTACTATCCAAGTGTTGCATCGCTCCCATCGAGGACTCTCCAAAACCGAAGCGAGGTCACGGTTTATAACGGAAGCATGCCAGCTGGAGGAGCCCGTCAACGCGCACGTCTTCCGACTGAGAGCCTCCAAGGCCGAGCAAGCCCCCGGGTCCATCCTCCTGGCCGTCTGTGCCAAAGGGCTGAAGGTGTGCCCCGATAACAACCCCCCRTCGATCTTCCTCTGGAGCTCCATCGGGAAGCTCAGCTTCGAACGCAAGAAATTCGAGATTCGGACAGGCCACGAAAAGTTGACTTTATACACCAGCAGTGATGAAAAGAGCAGATTGTTGCTCGCGTTATGCAAAGCGGCCCATTTGTTCAGCATGGCCGTGGCGCCGAGACTCAGTGAGGCKCGCMGGGAGGAGGAGGAGAAGCAGAGATGGGATTGCGACCAGAGGATTTCGGTGATTTCGAGCACTTCGTCGAATACGACGTCGGGGATTGTGAGCGATCGGGTTCATAGTGAGGACGAGTTGGAGATTATGATAACGAGTCCGCCGGCACCTTCTACGGAGAGTTTGGCTCTGGCTCACCTGCTGGACAGTGCGCCAGCTAGCAGCCGAACCTCGGCGGCGTCGGCGACGGCTGCGCTTACTGCACTCTCCCTCAAAGAAGAAGAAGAAGAGGTCAGCAAGCCGGCTTGTAGCGAAAGTTCGGCTAAGACGGCCGCGAGCGGAAAGTGTGCAGGGTCGCAATGCAGCTCGTCGTGCAGCACGGTGGTGGTGACGCCGGTGCAAAATAGTAAGTAAAGTAATAGTAAAAAAACGCAAATGAAAACCGTAAATATAACCAAATGTAATATTACCACTAGGAATTATTTCTTAAAATTTATTAAACTTTCCGAGTAAAATCAGGGCAATTTTATTATTATACAAATTCGTAACAACTAAGCTATTTCATTTTTCAAAAGTTAAAACATAAACAAGACCAAAGTTTACTAATAAAAGATTATACCGCGTGTTATGTAAATAGACCAAAATCTCTTGGGTGGCGATTCCTACGTGTATGATTCTTATTAATATTGTTCAATAATTTTTCTTCAATTGTATTTTGTTTAAAAGAAAAAATTCTTTCTGTTATAGTGTCAACACAGTGGCGACAGATTATTTACATTCGTGAATAATCATTACTTATTCAAAAATAAGCAGATTTGTTGCTGATTGTGACGAAATATTTCAAATTGGTTTTGCCTCTGTATTAGATCTCAACAGTCTTTAGTCTTATTTCTACAGATTTCGAATTTACGAAAGAAAACAGAGCAGTTTGGAAAAGACAAAGGTCCAATGCAAAACGAATTTAATTTCTGAAAAAAATTTGAACTAGAATAACAAGATTATTAAGGTCCAAACAAGTGGCTGTTTTTAATTGGGTACCAGCTGATTTGGTTTAAAATAGATAGAACTTTAAATATTTGTTAGCAATAAATCTATTAGAGGTATGTATTAGTTCCTTTGTTGTGAAACATTTCAAATAAATATTTTTCTATTTTGCGCCTTAAAGAAAGTTTATTTAGATCCCAAAACCAATGCTTTAACGAGCCATTTCAACACCTATTTGGGTGCTGAAATAGACTAGTACAATTTACTTTCTAGAGGTGGTAATGGTGATTTTCAGCGGCGATTTGAGCTCTCTCTTCTCTTTTTTTTCATGTGGTGTGCATAAAATATTTACAGTATTCATTGTAATTCAACAGAATTTTGAAAAATACTTGAGACTTGACACTTCTAAAATYGAACTTTCGAACGWTGTGTTATTTGTTACCAACCACAACTTTATTAGAGCAAAAGTTCCTAAATTTTGAAAAATTGACTTTTATGTTAAAAAAGTTTGTAAAACGTGCAAAATAGAAAAAAAAACTTGTTTCATAAATCATTTGAGGGAACTCATTCTTCATAAAACTTGCGCTTCACTGCTCGTTTCATAAACCTAAACTCGTTCCACAAAACTTGCCCTACGAAACGCTTTCGTTAATATACTATTTTATTTCTTACACTTAAATTATGACCACTTCATTTGCGTCGTCCCTGATCGCATCTTTCAACATTGATAGTTGTCAAAGTTAATACATAATGTATTGTTACTTGATTCCATATTTTTGAGATAATTTTTTTCCTTTTTCATTGGTCACATTCAAAAAACGAAAACCGTTTCTAACTAGAACCACACTGAACATTTAAAAAAAGTTTTTTTTCCTCTTAGTTTTTTGTAAATTGTAAATTATTCTACCTCTTAATGATTTTATATCATCTCTCGTTAATTTTATTGTTATAGTTGACGTAGTCAGAACAAAAAGTAGRATTGACTTGAAATTTTATGACTTTATTTTATTAGTATTATTGAGATCGAAGGTTTGTATAGGTAACATTTGGTTTTCTAATGATAATGAAAATTTGTTTAACTTTATTAAAAAATCTCAAAATCACTYTTAAATTTAGCCCTTTTATTTAAATTATAACTTGCTTCTCAGCGAGTCGCTTTCTAATAATTTAGACAAACTTTTTTTTCTTTTATTCATAAAAACAAGGCTCTTACATAAGTAAAAATTTAGAATTGTGAGTATGAATAGTTTTACAATTTTTCCACAGATCTAATCATTTTTGTWTTGTTTTTTATCATTTCTTCTCTTTCATCACCAGCTTCACTCTTAATGTTCCGAAGTATTTTATCAATTTTTTTATCAACCACATTCCTTTCGTGAAATCAGAGTTTCAAATCTAAAACAGTCACATTCCCATTCATTTGCAACAGTAATTTAGCTTTTTTATCCCCACAAAAACGCGAGTTATGTCATTCCCGCTCAATGAATTATTGTAAACTTGACATTTGTATTTTTTTCACCATTTAAGTTTCTTTTTTCATTACAGAAACSAAAGGCCGCAGACCGTCAACCAGTAGCAGTCTCGAACTCGGTTACTCTCACACGGCCCAAAATTCGGCCGTTAGTGATGCAACTTGTATCGAACTAGACACTCGAGAACCCGTCTACACGTCGGGCCCGGCCCCCAGCAGTCACACTAGTGGCGTCTACACTCTCACTTCCAGTGATCAATACACRCTAAGTTCGGATCAGTACGCCAGTCAGAGTGATCAAGTCGATRGKCCCTTCAGAGACAGATCWAACTCAAAYGTCAGCAAYTCGGGGTCGTTCCATGGCGATGGTAGCGACCCCACTGATAACAAACAAGCACTGTTATCAGCAGAGGAATTGTCCGATTTGATTGTGGGCCGGTACCCCAGTTGCAAAAGTGTGAGTCATACGCTGGATTCGGATTCGGATTATGTGACCCTTCCGTCGAGTTATCAAGGTTACGTCCCGGTACCACCAAAACGGATTGATAGTGCAGCTGAACAAAGATTTAGGCCTCCACCGCCCCCATATGGGGCCCAATTGACCAAAGCACCAACGGAAGTCACAGAGTTTGATGATCAAAGTTTTGTATCKGAATTGTCGATGCGAGAGCCGCCCCCATACCCCGAAAATCCGACCCCGGTACCACCCCCAGTGTACCCCTCTGAAGAGGCGGCTGCCCGTTTCATTACCACTAGATCCCCGAGTATTTTAACCGCACATGCGAGCAGTGTTGGAGTTTCCCCATCTCCGAGTTAYTCAACCCCAAGTTCAGTCCCTCCAATCCCCCCGAAAGTCCCTAGAGGTGTTCCTCCAATCAACGCGATCATAACTCCAAACAATTACTTGGACGTTGCTGCTAGTAAAGCCAGTGTTTTGGTCCCTTGTACGTTCCTYCCACCTCCACCTCCTGCCCCCAGACAACCACCTCCACCGCCCCCAGCTTTGGCTACAGTCTACACCAGTCAATTGTCCCGCTCGCAGATCGAACAATACAAACAACAGATGTATAGTGACGTTGATTTTGTCATGTTCCCACTAAAAGAACCAGCAATCAGTAAACAGGAATATTTGGAAGCTAAGTTGGCAGCATTGGTACAAACGCAACCTGTGTTTTATCGCAGTACTTCATATTTAGGACGCTATGCATCCAGTCAGAATCTATCTGATACTTATGTCCAGCTTCCGGTTTATGGAACAACGGCTGGGGGGTTGGATCCGCCGCCCCCGCCGTTGCCGCCAAACCGCCCCCGGTTCATGCGGACGCGCTCCGACGATAATATTCTGAATTCGTTGGATGCGCCACAACCGCCGTTCCGGCGGCGGTTGCCGCCGCCTCCGCCAATCGAAGAGAAGAAGAAGTGCGAGGCGAAAGCCGAGTGTGACAAAGGTTTAGATATTCGTACATTGAGAGAAAAGAGCAAGAAAATGGACTTGCCGCTGATTTCCGCGTTGTGCAATGATCGGTCTCTGATAAAGCAGACGAAAGCGTTCGTAATGCCGAAACACCCGGGCGAAGTGACCCCGCGATCGCTGAGTAGTACGCGTGCGAAGTATCCAGTGTCGGGATTGAGCAGTACGAGGATCAGCAAGACGACGAGGAAGATGCCGTCGATTAGCCATCGGCATCCCGGRGACAAACTYCCGGAGATCCCGAGGGCCCAGCCAAATAATTACGTGACGGATCCGCACGCAAAACACAAAACTATGCAGTCACATTCGTGAACTGATCATTTCCAGTGCTAGAGTAGATGAATTGTTATACTCAGGGTGCCATCATTGCAATATGTTAGGTTTAGGAAGGGGCCGATCTTTTGGACAAACGGAAGGGATGCAGGTTTTACACTTTTTGACAAAATATCGGTGCCTTTTGCCATCCCTGTATGTACATAAATGGTCATTTTTTAATACCGCACGTAAGTTTACAGTACATATGTATGTTTAGCAATAATGTATACACTTGCTCAACTTTTATTATTAAAGTAATTATATTTTTAACATTGTTTTATGTGTTTTTTCTTTATTTATTTCAAGCATCCGAAATTCATTCAAAGCTTCAATCAAATGTACGGTGCTGCCTTGATTTTAAAAATAAAGCAATCTACAAAATGGCTTTTATTTTATTGTAACAACTCCTTATGTAACGACTAAAAAGACGTTGAATTATTTCTAAAAAAAGTTTTTTTTTCTTGATCGTAGGAGAAATTATATGCATCACAATGGAGAAAAGTGTCTTTTCCTCCCTGGATGGTTACTGCTCTCGAAAGTCTCGGGGATTGACTTCCACCTTGTGGGAGGAAAAGATACACTTACCTTCCTTGTAATACAAATAACTTACTGTAAGCTTCAGAATCGGATATGAATCTGTTGTGTATGCAACCAGTTATACACAAATTTTAAATAAGAAAATGTCCCTATGCACAATTTTTTGTCCTATTTTTTGTTACTAAAATAATTTTAAATTATTTTTTAAATCCAACCTAAACTTTTGGTAAAATAAAACAGAATGCACACAGAATGTGTTCACTAGTTAGTTAGACCCAATCGGTTTTTTGTTCAATTTTTTTGTCTGTGGGCGATTTTTTGCTCAATTTTTTGTGTCTGCACGATTTTTTATTCTATTTTTTGTTGCTATAATACTTGTATTTATCAAATTATTAACAAAGATCACAAACGGCTTTTTGTTCAATTTTTAGTGTGTGTGGACGATTTTTTGCTCATTTTTTTGTGCCTATGAGCGATTTTTTGTTCAATTTTTTGTGCCTATGCACAATTTTTTGTCCTATTTTTTGTTACTAAAATAATTGAAATTATTTTTGAATTCCAACCTAAACTTTTGGTAAAATAAAATAAAATAAAATGCACAGAGAATATACACTAATTTTATTAATATTTCCATTAACTTGATAACAAATGATTGAGTAACTAGAAAAATCAATGATTTATCCATTTATCACAGAAAAATACACAAAGCGATACAATTTCTTTCCAAAAAAAGTTACATAAGTTCAATAACGACCGACTCTCCCGGCCACAATGAAAGATCCTTGAACGAAATGCTCCCCGATTTAGAATCCGTCTTCGGCCCAATCACCACAATCCCACTGTACAACAGCGTGGACAAATCCTGAGTAATCGTCGCATTTCCTAGATTACTCACCACCACGAAACTCTTCCTTCTGGGATRCCACCTCTGTATCACTAACAAATTTTCTCTTGCGTAAATCACCTCCGAATTCGCCTTACTCTCCCCTTCTCTAAAATGAGAGTTATAGAAAATCGCCGGCGATTTAGCCCTCAACTCGATCATATCGGCCACAGACTTGGCCTGACTGAAATCAGAAATTGCCCTTTCTCCATGCATCCATGGTAAAACCTGACTGGATTTCCTCTCCTCCCAAGCCATGAAAGTGAAGTGGTGGAGGTGTTTCTGGTCGTTGCGGTCACCTTCAGGGTCCGAGATTTGTTGGAGGCCGATTTCGTTCCCGTAGAAGATGCAAGGAGTCCCCGGGAGCATCAATTGGAGGAGGGTTGCCCCCAATGTCGCGTTGGCATATGGGAGGATATTGGCGAGGCGAGTTGGGAGGGACTCATCACCGAGGCTCCAGTGGACCCACGGGAGGCCTCTGCGAGAGAAAAGTGTCCCGTTTTGGACAGATTCGATTTGTTTAGTGACAGTACGAAGCCCCTTTTCTATTTCGAGTCGGACATCAACCAAGTCAACACTATTCAGAATTAAATTAATTGTGTTTTTGGGAGCCATATTAATTACAGCTTCGCTAATAATTAAGGGCCGTTCAGGCCCTAATATGTTTTTCCAGCGGCGTAAAGAGTGCCCCAAGTGAGGGTCATCGATAAAATACTCCAACCCTTTAAGRTAAAAACCCTCAACTCCGTGATTGGTCCAATGGAGTAAAGCCTGCTCTATTAGATCCTCCCCCATTGGTTCCTGTTTCAAAAACTCAACCGATGGTTCCTGATTGGTTGAATTCACCTCGCTTTTCTTCCGAGTGAGTTGTTTCAAAACCGGAAACACTGGTAAATCAAGAATGAGTGAAATATTTTTCGGTTTCAAGTACTCCTTGACCATTTTCTCCAAATCCTCAATTGTGCCCAACTGTGGGGCAATTTCGACCAAACTTGTCACATTTTTGTAATCATCTGGATAATTCGGTGTTTTAAAAATCGAATTGAGACGGATTGCTCTCACTCCTAGTGATTTCAAGTAACCACTTTTGAGTGCGATTCCTTTGAAATCGCCATACATGTGGTTCCTGTCACTGGCATAAAAACTGGCTGGGAAAACCTCRTAGAAGACATTTCCTTGGTACCATTCAGTGTATGGGTCACAGGTTTTTGGTAGGGTTGAGATCATCATTATTACGAGGGCCAGCATTGCGACGAGACCTGATAAAAACATGCCGAGGGAGACTTTTCGAATCAGGGGCCAGTTCCATGACATGAAAAAGTAGTTTTCAGGAGGGTTGCGAAAAGTTAGTTGGAGGGGTTGGACTTTACCAGCCGTTTCCTGCAATTCAATCACGAATTATATCGCAATTTGGCATTTTTTGGAACGCTGAAAGACCTTAACCCAAACACAGCAAACCAACCATCAATCAAACCAAAAAGAGTTTTAGTTTTTAGTGTAATTCAACAAAATTCCAATTAATTTTCGCTGAGTGAAAAAAATTATAAAAAAATAATTCAGCTCCTGGACTAAAACATTTTTTTTTGTTAAAATATTTGCTAAAATAAATGGGCTGTTTTTGCGATTTTTTTAATGAAAACTGAACATTTCTACTGGGTTAAAGCCTTTTCGCACAAAGTACCTCGATTGCTGAATTTTCGTCTTTGGTAATATGGTGATAAGCACTATTCCTGTGATTGAGCAATTGGGTACAGGCTGGTTCAGCTAAAGCCGACGAACTCGAGGACGCCGAATCCCCCGCACATTTATCCTCATCTAAAACCCTCRATTTTTCAATYTAAACTCAAAATTTTTCSCCAAACCTTGCACATGTTGTTGCAAAATCGTCGCCAATTCCTCCCCGATTTGGTAATTGGGCTCGTTTGACTCCGGCAAAGGGTTAATAAGGTCGTTGGTTGGGGGCGACGGTGTTATCAAAGGACAAATCGACGCCACCTCGTCCGCAATAAACGAATTCGAGGGCGAACTCGGCAAATCTGGGTTTGTCACTTTCAGAAACCCGTCCATTGTAGCACGACACAAAACCACTCAATTTGCTCGAATTGAACTCATGTGATTACCACTCAGCTGATGGACTATTTATGGGCACGTCGCGGCGCTGGGCGTCGCGACACGCCACAGGCGCGAGGTTTAAAAGTGTGGAATTTTCCGATGTGGTCAAAACGCATTCCGGAGATTACTATTTCGATTATTTCTGATAAATGAGGAGATGAGAAACTTTCCGTTTGTCCGAGCTACGACAGAAAATTCCGCTGCATTATGTTTTTCTTGTGTTGGCAAGGTCAAGTTTTTGGAAAAGTGCAAAAATTCTGTTGTTGAGATAAGTCGGAATGAAAAATTGTGATTTCGAAGTCTGACCTAAATAATGTTCTTTGTAATTTAAAGTCAATGAATTAATTAGAAGACGGCGCTCATTTTTCTTGGAATTTTTCAACACAAACAACTCTGGCTGAGATTATTATTATTATAGTTTTTATTAAGAAAATAAACAAACCTTGACGTTAAAATAAATAGAAGAATTAAAAGTTATAATCTAAAAATTGTGTATTTGTTTTAAACCCCTATTGGTGCTTGGCATAAAAATTATTATCATTATAAATGACACAAGACAAGGACACACTACGTTAATTTTCATTTGGCAAAATAAAGACCGATGATAACAGACAATTCGCAATACATTTCAATTTTGCTATCATTTGTTAGTTATATTAGGTACCCTATTTAAATAAATTTAGAATTATAAAAAAAAAAACTATAAGAAGGCTGAATAATCTAAATAAATAATAAATTTGTTATAAATTATCAGCAACGATACCTACTTTTTTATTTTTCGAGTACAAAAACAGATTATTGGAAAAATGGAAAAATTCTCAAAAGAGGTGGCTTATTCATATTTCACAAATCACTTATAAAATCAAAGTCATAGCAAATCCCTCGAATTTGCTTTTATTTAAGGTAAATAAATCCACGAACGATGATTTTCTATCTCGAAATGGCACGTTATAAACAAGCTGCTCTTGGCATAATATATTTCGTCGTAAACATTAAACTTGATGAACTTCTTTACGACTCACAAATTAGAAAATAAAGTAATTCGTCCAAATATGAAGGACACATATCGACTCTCCCAACGACAACTCTAGTAACTCAAAATTTACAGAATTGCATTGAAACTTTGATTGTTAATAAAAAATCAAGAAATTGTTTAATATTACTGAAAATTGCTGAAGGTCTAAGTTTTGGTAATAATATTGTTTATTCAAAGAAAATTTTTCTCATTGTTTTTGTATTTTGGGTCCTACATAAGCCATCGAAACTCAAAACCAATTTTTATGAGTTACTATAGTTTTCGTTGGGAGACTCTATATGATCTATATTAATTAATTAATTAAGATTTATTAAAAAAAACAAAGCTCAGAATAACAAAATTGATTTGGTTCAATTTTCATTATTGTTATTCTTATAAAATCATGTCGTCGCATGTTTTACTCTCACGCTTTAGAGATATGTAAGTTATTATGTCATTTGTCCATGCAGAGATGTGAAATTTCAGATAAAACGCTGCTGTTGAATGAATAATTACTAAAATTTAATTAGTTGTACCTATAAATCAGGTCCGCTTTAAATTAGCATTTTTTTATTCCTTGTAGGTTTAAACAATTGTTTCAATAATCATAGGGAAACGACACAAAATTAGTTCATCAATATTTTTTTTTAACAAATTAATGACATTATCATTAACAATTGATGATTTTTAAAACAAGTTAAAATGTGTGTAGCAAAATCAGTTTAAGACCGTCAAGAGAGTAGATTTTTACTCAAAGACAAAACAAATAATAAATTGTGGAAAAGTTTCTTTGCTCGTTCTTTGTGTTTCCTGAATACAATAAAAATTAATACGACTAAATATAATTATTATTTATATAAATTAACTAATTAGCTGTCATTAATAATTCCTCTTGTTTATATAAATAATTAAAACACAAGTAACGATTAATAATTTTAAGATACGTCAGTCAGTATTATAAATTTTAAAATTTAGAATGGTTCGTCCGAGTTCAAAGTTTATTTTTATTTTTGTATTATTGGCGATTTATCGCAGACTTTCACAATAACTTGGAAAAAAACATGATGAGCACGTGCTACACTAGGAAGTAATTCACGAGGAAGACACACTATTAATTGTATCAACAAATAAAAAAATTGGATAAGAAAAGAATGAGTATTATATTAAAATGGAAAGGTGATCACATCTTTTCATGTCTTTTCGTCCTGGACAATTAATGTGGGTAATAATTTTTTTACTATCATAAATAATGGCTATTTATTAAATTAATCCAATGAGTTTATATAAATAAGAAAAAACATTAAATAATATTGACGTAATGGGATTCTAGTAACTTCATAAATATCTTTAACACATTTTTCACTGTCATGTAAAATATTTAAAAATTAGTGCAAAAACATACTTTATATGCACATGAATAATAATTATGATCATATTTATTAATCAATCATTGTTGATAATAACAATTTGTATTTTGGAAGACTTATTAGTATTTGAGATAATGGAGTTGTAAAATTCTTATTTATTTGTCAGTTTTTTGGTTCACTGAAAGCGAATAAATTTTGAAATAGACGATTTACAAACAATCCATTTACTACAGTTTACAAGATTTTAAGTAAAAATATGTTCTCGATTATGCAAACTTGTCGTAATTTTTGGAACTAGGCAAATTTTTTAAAACAAAATTTGTACTGTCCAAGATCATTAACAATGCATAACAAATTAGATAAGTTCTTATCACTCGACCCTTGAATATTTTAATAATGAGATGAATGAATCGTACCTCCAGTTCAGATCTAGAAGTCATCGTAGTCTGAGCTACACTAGCATGTGTGATGTTCAAAATCGCCCAAAAAGTGAAAGAAAAGGTAAAATTTAATTTTTCCCAGTTTCAGTATTACGCAAAAATGCTTTTTGTAGTACATGGAGTCTAAATTTTTCCAAATAACTTTCTACAACAACACGAATTTAGTGTTAATCAGTGCGAACCCTCTCGAATTGAACATTTTCGTCGACGTGTACCATATTGAAAGTCCAGGCCATGGCTCTTGACTTTGTTGCAGGCTGCATTGGGGGTAAATAACACTCTTAACTCATCATAATTTAACAAATTTATTGCAGGATGTGCCGGTGTGATAGTTGGACATCCCTTGGACACAATAAAAGTGCATTTGCAAACTCAAGATGCGAAAAATCCAAAATTCACCGGAACTGTTGATTGTTTCCGGAAGTTGGTAACAAAAGACGGCCTCAGGGGACTTTACCGAGGAATGACAAGTCCTTTGGCGGGAGTCGCTGCCATTAATGCGATAGTTTTCGGTGTTTATGGCAACACTCAGAGGAGTTTGAACCCGGAAACGCTCCAGTCGAGTCTAATTGCCGGAGCCACAGCCGGATTTTTCCAGAGTTTTCTTTGTAGTCCCATGGAGTTGGCAAAATCACGACTTCAAGTGGCCAAAAGCCCGTCAGGTCCTCTTGATTGCTTGAGAAAGATTTACCGTGGGGAAGGTGTGAGGGGTCTTTTCCGGGGGTTAAATTCAACAATCCTCCGGGAGATTCCCGCCTTTGGTTCTTATTTCCTCACTTACGAATTTTTGACCCGGAGTGATGATAACCGTCCGGTTTCGACCGGAAACATGCTACTGGCTGGTGGGATTTCCGGGATGGTTTCCTGGATTATCGTCTATCCCATAGACGTGGTCAAATCCCGATTCCAAATAGACAACACGTACAAAAATTCTCTTGATTGTTTGAGGAAAAGTGTCTCGAGTGAAGGTTACAATTTCTTGTACAAAGGGCTTTCGCCTACACTTTTGCGTGCGTTTCCCGTAAACGCCGCCACTTTCGCTGTTGTTACATGGACCGTGCGTTTGTATGAGGGGGATTTATGGGGGCGGTGCAGTGATGCTGTATATACACTTAAAGTGTCAGAGGCTGTTCCCGTTTGAAACGTGTAATCAATTTTCAAGAAAATGTGTTTTGCTTGTTATGTGATAAATTATACAAACTGGTGTTTTATCACGTGAATATGCTAAAATGGGATGATGGGAACTTAATGAGGCGATTTTCAGAAATATAGTGGCGCCAGCAATGCTGCACATTGTAGTTATGTAGATTTTGACATTGAAATAAAACTGTATTGTGTTCGTTGGGGTTTTATTTCATTTGTCCCCAAGAAAATAAAAATAATGTGTAATTACAAAATATTTTAGGATCGCGTCATTTTATTTACAAAAGGAAAAACTTACATTTTATTCGAGAATAAAAATCCAATTTTGAAAAAAAATAGATCCAAAACAATAAATAAAGTTTTTATTTTCGCTTACTTAATTCTTTCCTATAGAACTGCTAAAAATTTGCAAAAAATAAGTTTATTTTTAAAATGTCCATAAGTTGGGTAAAAAAATGTAATAAACTTTCTGTTTGTTCGTAAGAATAAGGACTGTTTTAAATCAGAAACATTTCCATAAAAAGGCGTTTTTAATTAAACATCTGTCTGTTTCATGATATTTTAATTAATCATCTTTTTCGTAAAACCTTAATCTGATACAAGAAATCCTGAGGGCATTATTTTTAAAACAAAAATGTTTCGAGAAAAAAAATCCTGGAATCTGGCGTTAGTGCATTATCATTTTTTTTTCAATTTAAACGTTTTTCGAACTCCAAACACTACGTAGAAATATTCATAAACCAATTAAATATAAAACTATTTTGAATTATTTTCAAAATAAAGAATTCAGTAACTATTTTAAATAAAACTGTTTAATTGAACTAAAAACCTTGAATAATCACTAATCAGTGCTTTATTATTATAGTATACTTGATATCGTATTTATTAAGAATAATATCAAAAATAGGTTAGTCAGTTTTTTTCTAACATGTAGGTCAACCGTGTAATTACAGTAATAAGATTTTAATTAATTTGTCATCGTAAATACAAAATTCGCAAATTCTGTTGTAACCACATTTTGTAATCACAAATATTTAATTACTTGCAATTATCATAATTATCATAAACAGAAAAATTATAAAATAGTCCGAAATAAATAAAACAAATTAATTTATGTGTCCGTTATCTAAAAAAATTAAATAAAAATGGGATTTTATCGACTCGTAGAAGGTCATATAAAGTTTAAAAGTGCGTAATATTCACTAAACTAAAATGAAATTAATTTTTTGTAATTAGGCATTTTAAAACAGTCATCATTCTTCATAAGAGCAATTCTGGCTTCAATTTGAAAAGAAGTTTTACATTTCTTGATATCGTAGTTGTTTTTTTTCAATTCCTTTTATAATATTAAGTATGGATTGGGTTTACAAGAAGAAATGTTTTGTTGTTGAAATTTTTTTTATCTTTGATTTTACGCCAAAACTGCAAGGGAAAAACATTTTTTGTTTCAACTGAAACGAGCAAATCTGTAATTAAAACTTCATTATTCTAATTCACTGAAAAGAAAAGTTGTTTTTTTTTTTTATTTTGGACCTGGAATAATTTTTCTCTGCTTTTTTAAGTACAATCACATTGACGGTTTTTTCAGTTTGACAACTATGGCACTCTGAGAGTTAATTCATTAATTAAATAATAATAGTTCTTGTTAAAAATGACTTTGTTTTTTTTGAGTTGCTATTTATTAAAATTATGTTTTTCACAAACATTTTTGTTATTTGACTGACGTAAACGTACTTGTCAAAGTGACAAATTGTCAAAAATACAGGCTGCGCCAGAACTCGCGCCCCAGAGAAACAAATTCAAGTAAGATAAGACACCAGGAACATGAAAAAAATGTTTAAAAAATTCTATCTGTCAAAAAAATTTTGACTTTTATTTTGACATTTGACATTTTTTTTTGTTTATTTAATGATACCGATGATTTTACAATCATTTAGTAAAGGTGCAAAAATGTTGGCAATAAAAGCCACAAATAACATTAAACAGAGTCAYAATTTAGGATACAGCTTGCTTGTTTCATCTTCTAATAGCCTGTATCAAAAAAACTTGGAAAATTATTATTCCAACAAAAATACATAGAGTCAAAGTGCAAAATTTAAACTTTCGTAACTTCGAAATTTTTGTAGATAATTTTTTTTAACCTTTGTTCCTGGTATCTTACCTTATTATTTTTCTCTGCGAGTTCTGGCGCAGCCTGTATAAAACCCCCAATGTGAGGAGATTTAAAAAGCAGAGAAAAATTAGCCCAAAATCAAGAGAAAAATAAACTTACTTCTTTTTCTACTGAGTTAGAATAATGAAGTTTTAATTACAGATTTGCTCGTTTCAGTTAAAGCAAGAAATGTTTTCCCTTTGCAGTTTTAGCGTAAAATCAAAGATACAATTTTTTTTGTAGTCCCAATCCGGGGACACACTGTATATTACCTAAAACTTGTAATTTATGAAATACATTGACGGTCAGATAATTTCATTATTAGGTACTAAAAAAATTTAACCAATTATAAACACTGAAATAAAATAAATTCTTATTGTTTTTTTACTATTACTGCATTTTTTTTTAATGCTAAACCGAAATGAATCAAAGCCAAACTGTGTCATAGAAATAAAAAATTAACCCAAGTAGAACCCAGTGGAAAAAGATTTTTTCAATTGAAGTCCTTTTAACTCTTTTAAGCAAATTTAACTCTACCAAATAATTTTTTAGTTTGTTTTGTGAACTTTTTGTTGCTATTTTTTTATCGAAATGTTTAGCCATCATATCCATGGTTCACGGCTACCAATGAAAACCTCTGGAATAAAAACCTAATAGAAACCTTTGTTTCCGTTGTCACTTTTGACTTTCAACAAATTTCAACCCCTAATATTGTTCAAAATTATTTGTGTTCTTTACCTTCCTTGAAAGATTCCCACCAAGACGCAGAAGTACGATGAGATGCAGGATGCAGAAACCGGAAAAGGGCGGTGTATGAGTATGCAGGCCATGCAGACGTTGTACGATTTGAGGGAGAACAACCAGTTATGCGACGCGATTATAGTCCTTGACGACGGGACCGAAATCCCCATCCACAGAGCCCTCCTGTGTGCCTGCAGCAACTACTTCAAGTATAAMWTCYCCGAAGCGGCGAAAAAAATCTCTAATTTTGAAAATTTCAGAGCCGCTTTTACGACTCTCCTACACAACAAAAACGAGACCAAAGTRCAAATACCAGGCGTCAGCTCGGAAATGATGCACATTTTAATCAATTATGCCTATTTGCGGAAACTAGACTTGAACAAGAATAACGTTTTTGATGTTTTGATCACCGCCGATTATTTGAGTATGTTGGGTGCTTTGGAAATGTGTTGTAAATATTTGGAAAACATTCTCAATGGCAAAAACTGCATCGGAATTTTACTTTTCGCCCGAAACCACTTCTGTACTGATCTTGCACAAGCCTGTTGGCGCTACATCATGAAGAATTTCATTCAAATCGCACAGCAAAGCGAYGAACTTTTAATGTTATCATTGAAGGATTTTCAAGAAATCATCAATGCRGATAATCTCAATGTGAAAAGCGAGGAAATCGTTTGGGAAACGATTCTCAAATGGATCGATTACGATCCGGAGCAAAGAAAAGGACATATTGTTACCTTGATGAAATGTATCAGACTCGGTTTGCTGGAAACTCAGTTCTTCATGGAAAAAGTCAAGGATCACCCGTACGTCACATCCTGCGAAGAAAGTAGACCTATGGTCATCGAAACTTTGAAATTCTTATACGATCTTGAACGAATCATGCACAAGTAACCCAATTTTCACTCTATTTCAAATGGCTTCAGCAATTTAGTATAAGAGCTAGGTTTTTGTTCAGACAAACTTCAGGTTTAATTCTAGAATAATCCAGCTCTTATATTAATTATCACTAGCCACCAACTAGATTTTTACGATTACATACAGTCCAACGATATGAAAAATATTTCGTCTAGGAAAATTTAAAAAAATGTTTCCAGAATTTTTGAATCAACATCTCAGAAAAAACAATTTATCCAATATACAATAAATAACTATTAATAGCGACTTAAAATAACTCAGGATAGCAAAAATAATGTTAAATAAATAAACCAAAAAAAAGAGAAATACACGCAAAAACACGTTTAAATATCTAAGAAAACCTGTAATTTTCACTTTTTTTTTAATATGCAATTTTTAACTTACGACTTTTCTCAAATTACACTTTGTTATAGTATTCCTTTTCCCTATTATTATTTTATTATTATGGTAATTATAATAGTAGCGTGAGTACTATTATTGATTGTAGCAATTTTTCTGTCCCATTCTTATTTACAGTGTGTCCCCGGATTGATAAGTTTACAAGAGGAAAAAAAATCTTTGATTTTACGCCAAAACTGCAAAGGGAATACATTTTTTGCTTCACCTGAAACGAGCAATTCTGAAATTAAAATTGCTTTATTCTAATTCATTGGAAAGAAAAGTTAATTTTTTTCTTAATTTAGGCTTCCAATAATTTTTCTCTGCGTTTTAAACTTGATCACATTACTTGCTTAATTTTTTTGACAACGATGTTACTTTGACAAATGAGTTTATGCAAGTTAAACAACAAAAATGTTTGTGAAAAACATAACTTTAATAAATGACAACTCAAAGAAAAAGCTCTAAAATAAAAAACAAAGTCATTTTTTAACAAGAACAATCGTTATTTATAATTTTTAATTATAAAAAAACCGCCAATGTCCAAAATCGGAAGGAAAATTTGCTTTACTTTCCACTGAGTCAGAATAATGAAGTTTTAATTACAGATTTGCTCGTTTCAGGTTCAGCCAAAATTGTTATTTCTTTAAAGTTTTGGCGTAAAATCAAAGATTAAATTTTTGTTCCTCTTGTAAACTCAATMCGGAAACATACGGTATAATTATTAGCAAAATTTAACTTACTTTCAAAAAATAATTGGTAAWTTTTACCCTTCATGAGTCCTCACAAACAAAAACTTTTAATTGATGTACTCGTAAATTTGCTCGCTAAACTAGCTTCTTTATCAGGCATTTCAGCACATAAGTATGTCCCATTTTGACCAAAGAACTCACCYTTTAAAGTTTTTACAAACTGTTTATTTAATAATGTATCTATAATTTTTACGAGTTTGAAAGTGATACAGACTCTTCTTTAGTTTTTTAGTCTTAAAATTGTTACTTTTTCAACAATTTTTCTCAAATAGTGTGTATCCAGACACCTTTATTTAATAGATTTTTTACTTATTTGTTATTATTTTATCTGATTGTCATTTTATACTAAAAATTAGAGTTTCTTAAACTTGTGTCTAAAATTCAACAGTGGTTTTTTTATAACTTTTACTTTCACAATTTTCTAGACAAATTTCTAAGAAGTGATGTTAGTGGTACCGAATTTAATATCAAAATTTTTATTGATTTATAATTTTTTTAAAGACTAAAAAAGATACAATTGAAAGATTAAACATGAAATAATGCTACACCACTCACAGCCGTAGTTGACGGTGAATAGGGAAATTTTTGTTGATTTGGAAACGATTATTATTAAAAAAGTATTGGTTTTTAATTAATAGTTCTTCATTAATATATTTTTCTTCKTTTTCACCAATAACGCACTTTATTACCACAACCATTTTCAGATGTTATACAAGATTTTATTTTTTAAATTAGCAAATAACTAAAAATGTAGTCAACGCGAACATAATAGAAAATTTAGCATTCTTGTGTACAGACAATAATTTGCTTACTATAAAAAATTCACTTAACAACAAGAAGTTTTCACTTAGTTTACTTGAAAAATTTGAAAACAACGGGGCAAATTTTCTATTTTTGCTGATATTGTAAGTTAGATTCTTTGTTTCTGTCAGAAATGGTGAAGTGGTCACCCCCGAAATCGCGCGCCCCCGCCTGCCCCACGAGGTCCTTTTCGCCATCGGCGGCTGGAGCGGTGGTTCGCCCACCAACTACATCGAAACCTACGACACGCGAGCCGACCGATGGGTGAAAATCGAAGAAGTCGACCCTGCTGGACCTAGAGCCTACCATGGAACCGCCGTTGTCGGTTACAACATTTACGTAATTGGCGGATTCGACGGAATGGATTATTTCAACTCGTGTCGATGTTTCGACCCCGTGAAGAAAATCTGGAAGGAGATCGCCCCCATGCATGCCAGACGATGTTACGTCAGTACAGCCGTTTTGAATAACATTATCTATGCCATGGGTGGATACGACGGCCACCATAGACAAAACACGGCCGAGAAATATGATTACAAGACCAATCAATGGTCGTTGATTGCCTCTATGAATATGCAAAGGTCTGATGCGAGCGCTTGCAACCTTAATAGTAAGTATTTATTTGTTTTTGAGATCGAATTACTTTGAGAGGTGAAAAGTTTAACAAGCTTCTAATTAAATTCATTAAAGTAGATGCGCTTTTAGCGGAAATCTTTGGTTAKGGTGGRACCAGTTCGTGTTACTAATCAACAATGAGAGAACACATTGCATTAACGAACTTGTTTTAATGTTCCGTAACTCTGTAATGTTTTGGGTTTATTATGTGTCGTACCCGACGAATATCTTGCACAAAATGCGAGGAAATGACGAGTTAATTTTCCATTTTTTGGTCTCATTCAAGTTGGGAAAAAACGAGATTATAAAACTTGATTTGTTTCAATTTTAATTTAAAAATTGTTTAGAGGAAATGATCAATGAAATATTGAATGGCGGCAATTTTTCGTTCGGTAGTTATTAGCAGCCACTTTAATCACAAAGATGAAAAGTAATTTCAGGTATTTGAAAGAGTAAATTTGAACTCTTAACGGGGTATTATTAAAGTTTTTCGCTCGACGACAAAAGTTTCCAGCTTAAAATTATGTACGATTTGGTTCCCAACTAAAAAAGTCAAATTTCATCACTGATACACTGATAATTTAAACGAGTCATCTTTCAAATTAATAACAACACATAGAACAGGACGTGTTAGCGTGGCTTTCAATTTATCGAAGAATAGGTTAATAGGTACGAACATTTAAGGCTTCGATTGTAAAATTTTGTTGTTATAATTCACAAAGCATCACAAATATTTGAAAATTATTATTAATTATGAGTAAAATATACAGAGTGTTTCAGAACTCAGAGAAAAATTCCAAGTAAGATAAGCTACCAGGAACATGGAATAGTACAAATTGCAGAAGCACAAATTTGAAATTCCGAAACGAGCCGCTTAGCGGCGAGCTGAGGAACAAATTAGTGCTTGAAGAACCTTCTGCAACAAGTGCTTTATACTATTTTTTCTATTTTGCCGCTTTAAATCATTTTATAAATTAAAAGACGAAAATTTATTTTTTTCTAGAGAATTTTGCGACGGTTCGCGACATTTATGTGGAATAATTTTAGACGGCTGTGAAAAATAAAAATAACTCTTATTTTCACATTTGAAAATGAATGGTGGAAGAAAGTCCGTCACTAAAATTAAATTAACACCAACGACTTATTAAATCACTTAAATGACGTCATTTGGGTGCTGGAATAGAATTATTCTCAACGCAAAATAGAGAATAATCTTAAAAAAATTCTGATATTTCTTTTCTGACATTTAACCTTTTTTGTTTTTCATAATTGGTTGGTAATGGTGATTTTCAGCAGCGTTTTGAGCGATTTCTCTTATTTCTTATTCATTGTTAATTCAACAAAATTTTGAAAAATATTCGAGACTTGTCACTTCGAAAATCAAAGTGTACCTAATAAGTACGTAAAACGCGCAAAATAGAAAAAATAGCATTAAAAACTTGTTTCAAAAGTGAACTCGTTCCACAAAAATGGCTTACACGTTCTTTAATATACTATTTTCTAAAAGAAATTAATAAGGTCAAAGTGCAAAATTTAAACCCTCATAATTTCGAAATTTTTTCAGATTTGTATTTGGTATTTTTCTCTGAAGTGCGAGTTCTGAAAGAGCTAGTTTAAAAAAACTTTTTTATTCACAGACATACAGTAATAATCCAGTAAAGATACCAGCAACATAGAAAAAATGTTAAAAAATTCTATCTACAAAAATTTCGAAATTATAAGAGTTTAAATTTTGCACTCTGACTCTATTTATTTCTGTTGCAACAATAATTTTCCAATTTTTTTTGCTACAGGCTATTAAAAGAGGAAACAAGGAAACTGTATCCTAAATTGTAACTCTGTTTAATGTTATTTATGGCTTTTATTGCCAAGATTTTTTGTACCTTTACTAAATAATTATAAAAAACATCTACAAGAACGTCAGTAACATTAAATAAACATAAAAAATGTCGAATGTCAAAAAATAAATGTCAAAATTTTTCGACAGATAGAATTTTTTAGACATTTTTTTCATGTTTCTGGTATCTTATCTTACTTGAAATTTTACTTTGGGGTGCGATTTCTGATACACACTGTATAAAACATTTTCCTACAGATATAGCCAAGAAACAAATACAAACAACGCGACGCTTCTTTGTCATATGTCCTTTGACAAAAAATATTTTGTTTTTTGTATCCTTAAAAACAGGCATTTGATTAGGTGGAATTCAAAAACAAAATTACTTTACTAGTTAGCAACACTTCCATACAACTAATAAGTATGACATTTAACATGGTTTACTTTTAATATGCAACTATTTTAAAGATTGTAGAAAAACAATTTTTGTTAAAATATTCTTAGGTTTTTTACGTTTGCCATTAAGGATACAAAAAAATATCATGTTCAACTCGTAAGAAAAGTGGTTAATTATCTCGTGAAAASAATCACCACTTTTTTTAGTTGTTAAACAATCTACTATTATTGTCTACATGCCTATAATAAACACATAAAATGCAATTTCAAAATTTGCTGATTTTTTTATCGGCTTCGTGGTCGTTGCTTAATCGTACTTCTTCAGCTTATTGTCTTGGTATTGAAGCACCTTCCACCTTGGTGTATAATGTACTATTTGTTTTTTTGTTTTATGACACTATTTTTATTCTAGACAAGATCTACATCACTGGCGGTTTCAACGGGCAAGAATGCATGCACTCGGCCGAAGTCTACGACCCGGAATTGAACCAATGGACCCTAATAAGCGCCATGCGATCCCGCCGTTCCGGAGTCTCGTGCATCGCCTACCACGACTACGTCTACGTAATCGGCGGTTTCAACGGTATATCCCGGATGTGCAGCGGCGAGAAATACAACCCTCAGACCAACACCTGGACTCCCGTTCCCGACATGTACAACCCTCGAAGCAACTTCGCCATCGAAGTAATCGACGATATGATTTTTGCCATCGGGGGCTTCAACGGCGTAACCACCATCTACCACGTGGAGTGTTACGACGAGAAGACCAACGAGTGGTACGAAGCCACCGATATGAATATATACAGGTCGGCCCTTTCGGCGTGTGTGGTGGACGGGTTGCCCAACATCGAGGATTATATCCACAAACATAGGGACAAGTTGATGGAGGAGAAGAGGCAGAAAATGATCGCGTTAGAGAGCCAGAGACAAGGAACGTTGAATAATATACCAACTCCGCCAAATCCGCCTAACCCGCCAATTCCGCCGAATCCGCCCGAGAATGTGATAACAGCAGCTCATGGAAACTTGCAACAGTTGAATATTTTGCAACAGCTGAATAACAACAACGATAATAATCAAGTAGTGGCGGTGGCGCAAGATCCGGCCCTCTTGATGGAGATGGACGAAGCGGATAATGATGGGCAGTAGTTGTGTCACTTGCTATATGTTTCGATTCTTGGATGGAAGGTATTTTATTCTCCATGAACTATGATGTGACCGTCTGTTTGAGATCTAGTTACTATCAAATGTACTATAAGTATAGATATCATTTTATTTTATTTATACACATCTTTATACATTAATATAACATTTTATTGAGATTTGTTTGTTGAGAATGTTTTACGAGGTTTGAGAGTTTCGAGTCTGACGAATTGTTGCGGTTTTACTTGGAAAGGGGCTGTGTGTTGGTCTTCTTGCTCGTAAAGCTAATGAAAGGGAATTACGGCGACATGAGGACCGCTTCAATTATGTTTATTACAATAAAAGGTTTTTTGTTAAATTCGAGTATTTTAGCGCTTTATAACTATGACAGTTGCCACTCACGAAGAAAATAATAAATTACACTTTGCAAGGTGGGCAGTTTTGTAACTAGATACTTAAATCAATTATATTATAATTGGTGAAAATTTTGGTAAAAACTGCTTTGCAAAAAAAAAACCATACAAAAAAATCAGATTTTTTAACACTTTAAATTTTTACAGTTATTTAAGTAAGGAAATATGCATATTCCCTGT